TAATCCGGGGATTAGGCTGCCAAATTAAGACTTGCAAAAATTCAGCTTCTCACTTTCCTAGGCTGCTTTTTAGAGCAAATTCATTTGACACAGGTTCTCAAACATATTTAAAGCTCCACTTGCACTTTATCTGTAGATACCTGAGGCTCTAGCCTGTCTGTGGCTTGTTCAAGAGTGCACTGTTTTCAGATAGCAGAAGAAAGCCTGTGTGTGGGAAGAAGTCACGGGTATGATACTGATGGGTTTTCAAGGTGTTGTTTGATGGGGTAGTAATGGGGAACCTGAGGAAAATATTGGGAGCCTGATGGAGAAAGCTCATTCTTGGGTGAAGCGCCTGGTTGCCCTTTGTGTAAGGCAGATTCATTTCAGCACGATGCCCCAGGATTCCTGCGTGGCCCTCGTGCAGTTTCCTGTCTGCAAAACCAGAGGTTTGACGTATCCTGGAGCAACATTTGTTTTCTTTGAGGAATTAGCATGTATTTCCCTTTTAGAAAACCCCAGGTATAACGCCGTTGCCTTTGTTGTCTCTCTTGAAGTTGTCCATGTCCAAAAGTGCTCAGCTTCCCAGCTCCCTCCGTGTGCAGTAACAGGTGAGAAGCGCGAGGCTGGTGCCTAGACAGCACGCGGGTAACCCTGGCATCAGCCTGCGCTCCCTGATCCCCCTGGAGCTGCCTGCACCGCTCGGGTCGGGACTCGAGATGTTCTTTACCCAGGCAGCATGAAGCAGAGCAGATGCCTCCAAAGTGCCTGTTCTGGCCCAGCGTGTCGTTCACTCAGCCTGTTGGGTTGCGTTGGGGAGGAAGTGAAAGATTGGGTCAGTGCCTGCAGAGAGAAGGCTAATGTGGTAACGCCAGGTCTGTTCAAAGCCCAAAACCAGCTTCTTAGCATGTCTCGTGGTAGTGAATGGGACAGAAAACCGATGGCTGTTCTATTGGACAGCAAGAGCTCTGGAAGGGATAGTATCTTCCTGCCTTTCTGGTTTGCGTATGTCCAGGGATACAGGTGAGATGGCTGTAGAGGATTTCATTAGCTTCCCTCTTATTTCCATCTCACTACACCAGCATCCATTGCCCTCAACAACCTCCCTCTCTTCCTCATCCTTTTTTCTCTTCCATCCTTTTGTATTCTCTCTTACTCCAGCCCCTCTCATCTTTCTCTAGAAATCCTTGCTAGCTTGTGTATTCTTCTTTCTTTCAAGCATTCTCCACCTTTTCTACGCACTCAATCCTCTTGAAATTCTATGGTCCAAGTATCCCTTCCCATGCTCCAGCTCTTTTGCATGCCGCAGTTGCTGCATAGGGAGCTCGGGGCATGAGGAAACACGTGGCTTGTTCTCTGCTCTCCTTGTTGTCTGCACAGCCAGTTTCCCAGCGTGTGCCTGCACGTTTGCCTTCATGGGGGATGGAAGGACAGTAGCTTTCAGATCTGATCCAAACTAAACCTTAGGCTGCGGACACCAGGCTCCAAAATGTTTCATTCAACTCCCTGGTTTATCCTCTGTAGCCTCCAAATGGTTTCTATTAGTATTCTGAGTGAGACCTTGCTGATGGAATTAGTGGGAAACCAGGCTGTCAATTTATTTATACCCAGCTTGGGTACATAACCGCTGTGCATGTGTAAAGCTATTGAGATGCAGAGAGAATACAGTATATGTGTACGTGTGTGCGCTGCCGGGAAGCGAGTGTGCTGGGAAAACTGCTGCCCCACGGCTGAACAAGCAAGCAAAAGTGCAAGGAAACATTGCGGTGGCCTTGCAGTGTGCGAGGGTCCCTTTTCCCTGAATCCAGGGAGCAGCTGCTTTCTCTGTAATCTTCTCTTTACTGATGTATATTAATGTCTTTCAAGTCTCTCAGTTGCGGTGCTGGTTTACCTAGTTTCCTGGTTAAATCCCTGCTTCGCAGTTTCCTGTTGCTGGGACAATGTCAGTAAAGAATTCCCTGCTGCCCCATGCGCTACCTCAGCAGCAGTTCCTGCAGAAAAAGGAGGAATGTACTGGTCAAGCTAGGCCAAAGTTAATAGCTTAAATGTTTATTTCATTCATCTATTACTTGTGTCTGGAATTAGTTTCTTAGTATGAAAAGTAAAAATACCCCAAATTTGGAGTGCATTAGGTATCTCCTTCCATGCAGTCTCTTCTGGTTAAAAACAGGAAATGGGATTAGCAAAAGTTGTTGAGAAGTTTTCTCTGTGGTAGCCATGAAACAGTTAACCTGTTCATCTGTCTCACATCAGGATACCACAGAAAACTGCCTGAGAGAGCCCATGGGACCAGTGGATGTATTTGTGTTGCACAGTGGAGCCTGATGCATCAAACTGATGCTGGTCCAAGCTGGTATTTTCACATAACAAAACATACCTGTCTGGAGATAGCTGATCCTCAGTGTTAGAGAGCTTTGTTAGCATGTCCCTGAGCTAATTAGGACTGATTAGCTTGTCTGCAGTGTTCTGGTGCAGATAGTGTTTCCTGTGCTACAATTTGCTTGGTTATTTGCCAGCTCGGAAGTCTTCACGCCACTCCTTGGGGAGATGTGTCCAAAGAAAGGCAGTGAGAAGCACAGAGCTGGAGAAAAACAGAGTGGTGGGGAACCCAGAGGAGCAGGGAAGATGAGTCAAGGCAGAGCAGCTCCCTCCTGCAAGGCTGTGGGAACCAGTCCTTGTGCCACCACTGTGCGTAGAATCATTTAGGAGACTGTAGAAGCAGCTTCCCTGCCTTGGAAGGGTGTTTCCCACCAGCTTGTTAACCAAACCACAGGTGCAGTGCCTCTACTGAAGGCTCTGCTCTCATGCATCTCCCATATGCTCTTCTTCAATGTGCGTTTGTGCTGCACAGGTGCAAGAGAAGGCCCAGACACAAGTGCTGCCTTTTAGCAGTGCAGGTGAGATGGGTGCCAGCCACTGTATCAGCTTCTTGCTTTGCAGGGAAGTGCTGTCAGTAATGTTAGTTTGATGCATCTGCTGTCAACAGCTTCAAATTTAGGGAGAGTCAAGCTATGTCCCTTCAGCTCCACCCTGCAAGCAGTGGAGAGAGGAAGGAGAGGAAGAGGATTATCTGAGTTACCAGAGTTTGTAAAGCTAAAAGTCTGTCAGGGTTCCAAGAGAATAAAATGTGTTAACAAGTCATCCTGTAGCTGAGGTTTCCAGCTGTTGCTCCTGAGCTGTCTGGTATCAAAGCAATAAGGGTCCATCATAGAGCAGCTAACTTCAGCACATGAGCAATTACTGTCTGAGGCTTCTCAGGTATATTATAGCTTTATTATTATTATTTCTCTGCTCATAGTTTCTTGAGGCCTCTTCATATCCTGAATAAAGCCCCGGGGGATCATAAAGCCACAGGCTGAGTTTTAGCGCAGTCACTACTCGGCATCTCCCGCATTGATAGGCATTTAATGTGGTGCCTTGATCTGGGAAGCAGGGCCCCGGGATGCACCCCAGGGAGAGCCTCAAGATGTTCGTGTTTTTTTTTTTTTTTTTTTCCTGTCCCTGAGAAGATACCTCTTTTTGCTGTACAGATGACATTTTTCTCAGAAATGTCACCTCTTCTGCCTGCCCACTTTAAGTCTGCCACACTAAAAACATTAAGTATTTTGAAGTAAAATAACAAAACATTTAGCAATCTATGAAGAATTGCTAAGCACTTTTTTCCATCTGTGAGCTTTGGTTCTCACATTATACTATACTTCATTGTACCTGGATCTTATGTGGCAAAGTTTGCAGTGAAGATGCTGTTTCTTCTCCCATCAGAGAGAAGATCTTAGGCATCAGAGATTTGTGTGTTTTGATAAAAGTAACATTTAAGAGACTGTCTAGAGAGGAGAAGTCAGTTCTCAAGAGACCTCAGCAAATATTTGAGCACAGAAGTACAGGCCACACTGGCATGGAGCACGCATTTTGCATATGGCTATTCCCAGGGTAGTGATGGGGATTTCTGACATAAGAAGCAATCTGGGATTGGGATTTGGGAGCTCTTGTCAGGAGGTTGGCTGCAGAGTTTTGTGCCGATAAAGTGCATTGGGTTGATATTGGAAGAGGCAGCAACTGTTGACTGACTGATTCTACTGCTGAGGAATCAGTGTTTAAAGAATGCATGTGATGATGTCTCTAAATGATAAAGATGAGGGATTTCAGTTGCTTAGCATTATGGGGTTCTTTGGTTTGCTTTCCTCATCTATCTAAGCTTTTTTGACCTCTGGCCACCTCTCTGCTTCCTTGAAACTACCTGTGCTCATGCCGACTGACTTCTATGCAGGCCCTTGGGGATGTTCTTTCTTTACTAAATCTTTTTTCTTTATTTGTTTTTATTTTATATATGTGAAAAAGTAAATACAGAAGACTTGTAATTGAGGCTCCTCCAATGAGGATCTCCAGTTTGGAGAAGTCACTTGACATGATGCTGAAAATCCAAATTCTGTTTGTGCATTTCTGTCTCTGCCTGTCTCTGCTAGAGACACATGAGCTTTTAATAGACTGTGAAATTCCTCAGAGGTGTTTGTTATTTTGCAATTACTTTGCTATTGATTTTCTTAAAAACAATTCATAACTTGTTAAAGATCTTTCTCCTCTTTCCCGTTTTCATCTCTGCCACTGTCCAGTGTTTACAATTATTGAGCCTCTCTTGTTTCCCTGTTGCTTAGAGAGATGACTCTTCTAAACAGAGAAAGAAGAGATGAGTCCTAGTTATTTGTAAAGCTGGGTAGGGTCTTAGCCTAAATCTTGCCATCACTTCTGCAAAGGCAGTCTCTATTTGCCTCTATTTCCCTATTTTGGTAATAGAATATCTTTCTTTTAGAATAGGTTATGTAGACAAAGAGTTGTCAATGAATTCTTAAATGACTCTAAGGGGAAATTTCTATGTGTAGCAATTGTGAGCCCCTTACTCAAATGGAAGGACGTTAATAGAACACTAGTAAGAGCTGTCTGTCTTCTGCAGAACTGTCTTGTTTCTCTCCGTGCACCTCTGAATTTCAAATTCAGCACTGTAACTTTCTGATTTTCTCCATCAGGGTCTGCAGCTGGGAACTCAGGAGCTGGAGGAGATGGGAAACAAATTTTGTCTTGGTCTGCTCATCCTGCATCTCAAATCCTTGCCCTGCACCAAGGAAGTGATGGCACAAGCAGCGATCTTGCTGGATCTGGAGGAGGAGATCACAGACCTCCGGACACACAGGTCAGTGATAGGAGTATTTAGAGGATTTTCCTGTGGGTCAGGTTGTTGGGGGTTGCATTTCGGGTTTAGATTCACAGAAATCGCTCTCCTCGTGGCTGAGATCTGCTTGTCGGGAACTGGAGTGTATTGAGAGTTACTGGAAACAGAGGCAAGTGAATCCCAAAGAAGGCCTAAATCAGTGTCTCTGAAGCCATTCATGCAGTAGAACAGATAAAGGAAGGGAACCTGGTTTGTATTTTTCTACCAGTTTCAGTTCTTCTAAAACTGATTACTAGAGCATGGGGATAGTGCCTGCCTTGAAAAAATTATCAGCAGGGAACCTTCTGCTCGATGTGGTGTCATGTCATGTTCTGTTTGCCTCAGCTCCTCCATGGAGGGGGGACGGCTTGCAAGGAAGGAAAATGTCTTTGAGTTGCACAGTAGGGAACAAATATCACAGCTTCACAGAGAAGTTTGTCAGCAGATCCAGAAAGCCTACGCCTGGTTCTCCTAGCTATTGCTTGTTTCTCACTTCCCAAAGAGGGATTGCCTTTTTAAAGCCCCCTCTGTTCAAAGTGTAGAGAGTATAAGGAAAAGAGAGCATAAAGAATCTACCTAAACTTCTCTTGATTAATTTCTTGTGATGCATCTGCAAGATTCCCATGTCTGACCATTTTAGGAAAGGTGAGAATAATTTCAGTATTTCCATACATAACTGCTCATACTCTCAGAAGTACTATCAGATTTTTTGGCAACCACAGAAGACAGTAGAATCAGTTTTTAAACTACCAACACTCCATTCTTCTTAAACTGATAAAGCTGGCTTTAGTTGGGGAGGCAACAGTAATTTCCCTTGGTGTAATGATTAACTGCTAGTAAGCTGCAAGCTAAAGAAGGTTTCAGTAATTCTCCCTTAAGCTACCTAAGAGTAAGGTGAAACTTAATCTTTATAGAGTAAGATTAACTAAATGGTAAATACATGTACCCTTCAGCTTCCTGCAGAGACCTCTTGTGATGGAGAATCATTTTTTTTGTTTTTAACCTCAAAGTTTGTGAGTGGAAAAGAAGACCTAGAAAGAGCTGTCCTCCTGCTCGTAAGTGTGCCCTCCCTCTTCGGTGTTCATCCACTGGTTCCCTTAGGGCTACTATTCCCATTGAAAACATTATGCAGTACTCTGAACTAGATTCATAGAAACTCATTTAGCAAATTAATACTGTGTTCTCAGATTCAAAATACTGGGTAATAAATTTGAATGAATTATTACTAGAAGACAGATTTTTTTTTTTGGCAAATTCCTGGCCCCCTGTGCTTTTCTTCCTCCCTCTTCCTGCAGCAAACTCCTGCAATAACATATCTGCAGGTGGAATTCAATAATTCACTTCTTCCAAAGGTATAAATTGGCCTCACAAACATACTGTTGCCAGGTTCCTGGAAGAATCACTAACTTGGCATTTCCAACCACCCCATGGTGCCTTGCAATCCTTGGGCATTCAGGAGTCCAGTGCTGAGAAAACTAAATGCCATGTGTGTTAGATATCTTTTATGATAAGAGGCTTCATACCTCACTTGCTGTAAAAGTGATTGGGTTTTAGCCAACACTGTCCAGGTAACTTTACAATGAAGATGGGCAGTGACTGCTCACTTGTGGCAGGTTGCTCTTGCTTTCTGTCTCTCCAACCTGCTTCATCATAAGTATCATCTTCTGCCTTCCTTGTGGTTTAAGCCCATGGCATGTTCTTTGCCCTTCAGGTTGTGCTTAAGTGTTGCATCTATTGCAGCCATTTGTTCAGGAGACCTGTCTATAAGAGTGTCTGTTAAGACAGGCCTTTGTGAAGTCATTAAACATTTTCTGTTGACTCAGATACTATTTATCGCCTGAGTTTCTCCATCATAATTGTACCTTTCTTCAGTAGAACCCTGTTTCTTCACACCTCAGATGGTAAATACGCCTAGCTCTGCTATTAATCACAAGCAGAATGCTTCCTTGCTATTCTAGTCCGTTGTCCAGATGTGATCTGTTCATCTTCCTTGTGCTGAGCTCAGTAAGGTGGCTGAGTGTGTGGATGGGAAATCCAAGAATTGGCAGGAAGGATTTGCAGCTCAGTAAGAGCTCTGCTTCCTCTAGTGGCTGCTGTTGAGCTGTTGGGTTTCCCATCTTTCACTGGAGTGCAGCGTTCCCTGATTCCGGTTGTGCAAGCAGTGCCACTTGTCAGTTAACTCATGTGGCTAAAGTGCGATTCACATCGATCTTGAGTGAATTTAAGGAAGTGAAGCAGGTGAGGAGGAGGAAATTTTGAACAACAAAATTCATAGATGGAACGAAACCTGTTCACACCATCTGGGGCATCTTTAAACTGTCTTTGAATAGCAGAAATGCAGTATTATGTTTCTGTACCATGATAGTAAATGACTCCCTAGCCTGTTTATTTGGATCTTCCTGTAGTTACAGGGAAATGCAGGTTTCATTTTTTTGCTATTGTAAGTATTTATTTTGACTATAGGAACTTGTTGTCAGGTGTTCCAGCAGCTGTGGCTTTGGGTCCCCCCAGCTGTCTAGACAGTTGGACTCTGGGGAGTCCTCCAATGCATGGATGAAGATGGAAGTGCTCAGATGCTCTTCCATTTTGTGAATTTACTCCCAAGAGGTGGGGGTGGGGGAAAAAAAAAAACACAATAACAACGAGAAATAATTATTTGACAGTTTTGATTCTGTCTATTTGATTAAAGCTTCATTTTCCTTTAAGCAAAGATCTAGATATTTTTAATTTCAGTGATCTGGAGACACTAAATACCCTGTGGCAGCTTTCTGTGGAGGAGGTTGTTGATTCTATTCTTTAGCTTAGTCACCAATTACACTGTTGGTAAAGGAATTTCAAACTTCTGCTGCTTCATGACCGTCTCTGGATGTAGCATTTCTGTATTTGGATGCCTGAATTGAAGTGTCCTGAAAACGCTTTACCTACAAAGGCCAAACGGTTGTGTTGGTGGTGCAGAATATGGGGTAAGAGGAATTTCGAGGGTATTTCATATAACACTTTTTTTTTTTTTTTTGTGGGCATAGTGTAACACTAACAGAATAGCAGGTGTGAGAGCATCTGAATCTGGGCTTTGGAACGGTCTCACATTGCTGTTAGGACCAGGAGTTTAGGCAATCCTAAAGTCAACACTCTGTGAGGTTGTTTCTTCCTGTCATCCAGAGGAAGAAGCTCAAATCTTGAGTTCAGATGTATTTTAGGCTTCATATTTCACTGCTGCTCTATGCCTTTAGGAGCCTGCTTTCCAAATAAGAAAGTGAACCTTCTTTCAGCCACCCCTTCAACCTTCTTGTTCTGTGCTCTTCAGCATCTCTTCTTTTTTATTGCAAGAATACAAGCCCAGAGCCTTCTTTGGAGGCTTTGCTGAGCAACACAGCCTATAATGAATATATTTGGTATTTAGAAAGCTTTCATGTAGCTGCACACAGGTGAGCCACTGTAATTCAGCAACTTTTCATTAACACTTTCTGGAGCTGACCCTGTTTTCCTTCTGTTTATTTTTCCTATGAAACATCTTGGGAGCTGCACAGCTTTTGTTGATTGTTACAAGAAGCCAGCCCCAGCTGTGCCAGGCTGAGTACAATTATTCACGCTTACTTCAGGCATAATTAATTTACCATCTAATAGTTAAATAGTAGCAATTTAAATAGCAACAGAAAGGAAGGAGAGGAAAAAAGCAAATGGAAGAGAAAGAAATCACAGAAGATCATAGAAGGATCTTTAAACACACACAGAAGTGCTCTTGCTTGCTTGTAACTACTCAGCCACTCTTGAGGTTATTCAAATCACTATACACCACAAATCTGACTGGACTTGGTAATGAACTTGTATATATTCAGCAGAACAAATGTGCTCTGTATTGCCCTTTCTGTGAGGCAAACTGGGGTAGCAGTCGCTTGCATTACACCTCCTCATGCTGATGAGGAGTATGTGTGTTTCTGTGGCACAGTCCTTAACGTGAGATATGGAGGCCACATACATGCTGGGGTAGAAGCATAAAGCTGATTGCTAGCAGGGGTTCAGAAGTGATTCCCCATTACGATGTGTCTCCCAGGTGAATGTATTATAAGATGTTCATGTTCCTCTGGCATGGCCTTCATAACCACTGGATGGTCTATAGATGGTCCCTTTGAAGGACAAGAAGCAGAGTGGTTTCAGGTAGGAATGGTCTGAATAGACTGTTGGTCATCTTTAAATCAGCCAGAAGTAGGACTTCAAACTGAACGTGCTGTGGTTCTAGTGTTGAAAAGGCAGGATTAGAATGCTATATACATACGCTTTCATACAGACTGTATGTATGCTACAGCAGTAGGTGAAGCACTGCTTGAGTTTGAGCTGAGGCTCTGACACAACAGCAGAAGACAACTGTGTCATTGCAAATTTACTGATGAGCTTTGTCTTTTGTTTTCATATGTTTGACCAACTTCAGAGGATAAGCAAACGTTACTAAGGTGGGAATCCTTGTGTCTGTGCTGGTGGGATACATGGATGAATAACAAGGCTATATCAAAAGGTGTTGGTGCTGTAGTGTTTACATGCGGTACTTTTTCAAATGGTGTTCCCAGGTGCACAAAAAACTTCAGAGACCTGTGAAAAACAGAGAAAATAAGTAGATCTTTCATACTGGTATGTGCTGCTGTACATTCTTTTTGTCAGGGAAAAATGATAATGAGTAGGATGGTAGCTAGACAAAATAAGGTCCCAGTCCGTCTGAGGAAAGCATATTTCTATGGAAATAGAACATATTTTTTTTTCTCTGAATTATCTTTTCTTGTAATTGTCATTTAAGGCGGCCCTTAATTAATCTGTCCATAGCTCCCAATATAATTTTTTGAAGAACACATTCATGTAGGAGAAAATTAGATCTGGTGAGGGTCAAAACAGACTTTACCTCCAACCCTGACCTCTTGCATGCTGGAGAGTTAATCAAGGAATGTAAATCACAGGACAGGAGACTCTTTGATGTGGGTTTCAAACATTTGAGC